TCTGTCCGTCTGTCTGTCTATTTATCCGCAGATAATTTAGCCTTGTCCATAACTTTTGTTCTCATATTTCAAAGGTGTGTATTCCTTGTGGCAAGACTTTTCTTTGAGTTCCAGCATTTATGACCTCTTGGTCTTGACCATTTACCAAACTTTAACCTTGGATATAATAATTAAATGGTGTGTGCTAGTGCATTCATGCTTCGCATGTATATTTGTGTAATAAAACGTTTGAAAATATTTTTGGTTATTTTACCTTGCCCCTTTGAATATGACTTATTCAAAAAACAAACCTTAGCCAGTTTTTTTAACAGTTAAAGATAGGGCTTTCATGTTTCAAAGGTATATTCCTTGTAACAAGACCACCCGTTGGGTCCCGATAATTTTTACTCTTTGACCTAAGATATTGACATATATGTGTACTTTTAAAAAATATAACCCTGGTCATTTCTATGTTTTTATATTTCCCATGCGTATTCCTGGTGAAAATCCCTTGCAATGCTAGATCATTCAAACAAGAGAAAATTGGGGTTTATGCAAATGTCTAGGTTTCGTTGCAAAATCTTCACGTTTATTCACAAAAGTTTCTCATTTATTAGCGAAAGTTTTGGGTCATAACGCGAAAAAATCGCTTTTCTTCGTGAAAGCTACGCGTAAACTTATAACGCGATTTTTTTTTAACTACGGAAATGAGCTCAAATGAGTTTCGTATAAATATATTTACAATTGCAGCAATTTGAAGAATTTTATGTTTTGTTGAATTCTACACCACTTGTATACGCGTGTAAATTGTTATTGGTTTGTAGGTGTCAAACATAATTGATTTTTTATCATTAACCATGAGAATTCAAATTATTCACACAAGGTGCGACAAATGCTGTTGTAATGTTGAGGTGGGTAGAAGGGGGCGTGGTTCATCGATCAGCTGTTTGGTATATCAAGAGTGAACAATGGCAGAGAGGGCTGTCAGTGATTGTCAGTAGCTGGATCTACTCACTTTATACAAGGTAAATTATTTTTAACAGTTCCTTTTCCCTCGTGAAAAGTTTCAGTCCTTGAAAGACTTATGACATTGCCAACAGGAACATTTATCCGATGTATTTGGAATAGCAGACGAAAATGTCACCATCTCTGAACATTTAGACGAAAACTTTATTCTAAATATCAAAATAAGTAAATATTTTTTTTACAACCTAATAAATTGTTTTTAAAAAGTTCTAAAAAGTTAAAAAAAAAAAAAAAAAAAGAAAGCATATCTATTCCAAACCAACTGATATTTTAAAAAAGTATTTGACGCATTTGTATGATATAATTACAGAAACTAATCAACTTATGAATAAACATAATTCCTCTTAAATACCATGTCATCGTGCTAAAAAAATTGAGAGCTTAAAAATTGCTCTAATGATTTCTAAACGTTACCAAAACTTAATTCCCAGCAAGAAAATATCTGCTAAGGTCCGTCGTCATAAAACATACTTAAGTCTAAGAATGTTCTCAAGTCTGAGAATTTTCTCAAATCCAAAATTCTCAGACTCAGCAGCCGTCATAAAAAAGTTGAGAAAAATAAAAATTCCTTAAACTCTGTTTTATTCTCAAATTCTTAGCTGAGTAATTCTCAAGACTTGAGTTGAGAATTTTTTTTGAGAATTCACAAAGTTTAATGACGGCGGAGACTGGATTCCCTTCTATAGTTTCAGACGTGGACATCATCAACATGAAATAAAAAGCTTAGAATATAGATATCAGTCATATAAGATATAACCTACTCAAAATTATTAAACTCGATGTCAAGTTATTTTGACCTTGAAACACGTATTTCACTCTATTTTTCTGAGGAAGTTTTGTGTTAGAATTAATGGAAACTACATCACCCAAACGCTGTCGAATCTTGTATATTGCATATTGTGTCGTAGACAAAATATGAATGTCGAATATTATATCATCTATGCAACATTTTTAATTAGTAAAATAAAACGTTTTTGTTTATTTGACTGAATTTTACAAGGACCAGGAAGGGGTGGGGGTTGGGCGTAGTTAAATGTCAATCCTGAACCTGCAAAAAGGCAAGCTACATTCACAATAAGATAAAAACACAATTGGAAGAGGAAGAGGAAATACTTGCGAATTGTAATTATATCTCCTATCTAAAATTACTTTTTCTTGCTACCATATCCTTACATGTAATTTTTTCTTTAGACCATGGAATTCATTGAAAAAAAAAACAAACTTCAATACGATAGAATGACCTTGTCAGCAAATCTATCATTTAGTCAAACGCTGAATGTTTTTCAACGAGGTAATTTATTACAAACAAGTTGGTGAAACAAGAACTTTATCAGTTATACGGTCTATAACAGTCTGTTAGCAAATACAATTTATCTTGATAAAGTGCTAAACTTTTAATGTAATTGTTAACTATTATTTACACACTGAATGAATTGATGACGGATTTTCCCACTATTTCCCGATTATGACAAGGAACACATGGCGAGTGTGATCGGTCGGCAAGGGATGCTCTTTCCTCCATGGCACCAGATCCAACCTATGTTGTTTTAGAGGTTCGTTTGCCCTGCTCCTGGTTTTTATTGTTTTAATTGACTTTTGAGCTTGAATACCGTTCATAAAATTATCTCATACTTCAAATAATTCTGGAATCTTTCGGTAGTGAATATGTTTTTTTTTCACCAGAAAATAACATCAATACTGTCCGAGCCGAAGCCGTTTGTGATGATTACACAGGGACTTTTTTTAAGACAATATAAATGATAAGTAATATTATTTTATTACTTTGAATATGTAATGTATATGTTTTCTTTTTAAATGAACATCATCGTTTTTCAGGTGCTAACACAAAGCGATATGAAAGGTGTAATTTGGTCCGGAAGACTCGCCTGTATAACCTTAATGACTATATTTGTTATAGGTAAGGTTAATGCATGTTATGAGAGTTTCTTTCCCAATATAGCCGCAAAGAAGATTATTTATTCTATAAAATTCACAAGAAATATTGTATTTTTCTTTTTATAGGTTTAACTGAGTCACGAACGTTATCAGAAGACAATTTTTACCCTGGATCACATGCTAAACGTAACTGTAAGTATAATTACTATATATAAAGGTAATTAATTTGAGTATAATATAGCGTAAGTCTGTAATTATCGGATCATATACATGTGTAGCAGTGATGAACATTTTATTTAATTGTGTTCTTTCTTATTTGTTAATGTATGTTGTATTTTTCTTCAGCATGGTGGAGCAAGAAGTCATTTGGTGACGATGTTGTGAAATTAAGTGGTAATCTTTTTCTCGTTTTTTAAAGGAGGTCATAAAAAACTATCTTTATAACTTCATAGGCATCATGGTCAGAACCCTCCCCTACTTATTTGCACATATATAATATAGACATTGAAAAGAGCCATAGCTGCCTTACCGACGACACTGCCGACTCAAGTATTTAAAAGGAAATCACCTGTTTCTATTTATAGATACATATACCTTTTCAATTGAAGATCAAACTACATGTATGTAATCATTTGTGGACCAGTGTTATATTTTCATGGTTGCAAGTTTGTTACATGACAATTATTTTACTTCTTCAATCCTCATATTCTAAACAAGATTTTTAGAAAATTTTAGAAATAGAACAAGCTAGCAGCTATGACTTTAGGTCATTAAAATAGTTTAGAATAGTCCGAAAAATCTGACGTTTTTCTGGCTTTTTTACGATTTTGATATTTTACGCGCCAGGAAAATGTAAGAACTGGCGCCATTACGAAAACTGGAAATCGCCGCCTCCAACCGGAGGCGGCATTCAGAGGTTGATTTTCGATAATTGTAAACCGAATTAAATGCTGAATTCACATATTATCAATAGTATTACACCTTAAGTACTCACCAACATCGTTTTTATGTTTCGTTTATGAAATAATATAATCCGATGAACACGTTTTATCTGACTGTTGAGATTTGTTTTCATTTCGTGCATTTTAAAATCGTGCGAGTTCTGAATCGGAATGTGGAGTGGTAATTTCTATTCATCGATATTGGTGAGTTCTAGGAGCATTGTGCCATTGATAAATTGTGATTTCGGCATCTAATTCGGTTCCCAACTATAGAAAATCAACTTCTGGTGGAGACGGTGAAATTCCCAGTTTTCGTAATGGCGCCGGTTCTGACGTTTTCCTGGCATGTAAAATATCAAAATCGTTAAAAAGCCAGGAAAACGTCAGGTTTTTCGGACTAAGTTTAGAACTGTTTTTTTTTTAACCGAGATACTTTCAAGGTGCTATGTTGTATTATATTTCTCTTACATTATTTACACATGTATTATAAAAAATAAATAAAAGAAAACATAGGAAAAATGCACAGAGAAAAAAAGAATAAAAGCATAGATAAGAAACATAAACTGTGAGACTCGAACTCGTGAGCCTTATGTCTACAATCCAGCAATTCTTTTTTTTTTATCTTTTATTTACAATCCAGCAATCATAACTCTACGCCACGAAGTCATTGTATTCGGATGGACAAAATTAAGACAGATTGTTGAATCTTAAAATAATTTTGAGAAGAAAAATTAATACATATTTTCAACATTTTCAATATGAAGACCACCTTTAACCAAAATTATCTAAATGTAATGAAGTACAGTCGTATCCAAATAAAATTATTTAGAAGTTGTTTTTCTGGTTAAGGGTGGTCTTTTGCTACAGTTTGTCATTGTTTAGGGGGATACCTCAGTATTTACTATATTCTCCATATAAACTGAACGATTTTTATATCTATCATATGAGGGAACTTTTAATATTTGAATATTATTTTTGTGTGATTTGCTTTAAGGCATGTATAAACTGACGTTGTATGACAAAATTTTGGTTAAACAATGTATTTAAAAAGTCACTACTAGAGTAGGCGAAAGTGGCTATCAAATGCGCTATGGCTCTTTGGGCTTACCTTTTTTTGTTGCTTAAGCCCCCACCCCCAACTTCCAATTACCCCACCCCCACCCCCAATTTCAATTTTCTTCTGGCGCCTATGGGCTTACAATTATAATGCTCCTACGAAGAGAAAATTTAAATCACTGGGGCAGATTAATTAAAGTTCATATTGGTCTACTTTGGTGATCCAATCATCTCAATAAAGTGTTCTCATTTTGTTTCATTTGATTTTCTTCTAAGTGTGGTCATATACAAGTCTTAAACCCAATATAGTCACCAAAATCTATGTCAACAATGCATTTCTCTTTTCTTTTTTTAGGAAACAGAATTTCTGAAGATGGTTGTAACTGTGAGACTTCTCTAAGAATTCACAGTATGTACATATTTACCTTTTTTTAAAAGAACATGTATGATGTATCTAAAAATAACAGATATTGTTTCTAAAAGTAAGTTACAAAATATGACAATCTTATACATATAATTTTGATATTTTTTTTTTTGTTATTATTATTTTTTTTTTTTTGGTAATACAGAATGCTATGCTAGACATTGTGTGACGGCCACTTTTGTTTGCAATACAGAATGCTATGCTACACACTGTGCGACAGCCATTTTGTTACTTTTTTGTAATACAGAATGCTATGCTACCCACTGTGTGACGGCCATTTTTGTTTTTTAATACAGAATGCTATGCTACACACTGCGTGACGGGCTTCCTCCACTGTTTACGTAATGCAGTCAGTGAACAACACTACTCTATATGCCACGAGGAACATAACCTGTGTCTGTCTAAATGTTACAGGCTGGAGGAAGACAACTTCTGATTGTCCAGTTCCTGACTGGACAAAATTTCTCATTTCTCTTGACATTAATATTGTAATATTGCTATGAATGTTATGATTTGAAAAATAAACTGCATTTTTTTTTTGATTTATGTTTAATGTAACATTAAATCACAAGACTGTTATTTTTTTGTTGTTGTAAAATTATGTTTTTCAAAGGATTTTGAATAAATCTTATTTTTCACAATTTTCATTTTATTTGTGTCAAAATCAGTGCACATGCATTTACTTTAACACTTTTATTCAACTATACTGTTGAAAACACACTCAATAAATACTACCTGAATCATAGGATATTTTGGAAATGTATTAAAATATCACAAAAATTACTTTGTCAAATCTTCCATAGGTAGAATCTAACACAGAGTTCTGCTCATGCAGTCAGATAAGCATGCAAGCACCTTTCACAGGTCAGATACCTTATATTTGTACATGTATAAACAGTTCAGTATTTCTTATACAGGAATGATAAATTTCATGTATTATTATTCCCCATCCTGATATCTACATGTACCAAACAGCACTAAGTTATAGCACTGTCTACCACAACCAAGAAACTTTTAGTTCCTGTGCTTGAACCAAAGTAGCATACATGTGGAAGCCTTATCCATAGATACTATCACTCTCCAAACAGCATAGCGGTGTAAGTGTCTATCCCCATACTTTATTGTAGCTGCCCTTTCTTCCTTTATTTGAGGTTTACATACATACAATGTATATAGAAATTGTCATTCTCCAAACAGCATACTGTGGACAGCAGTGTAGGTGTCTATGCCCATACTTTGTTGTAGCTGCTTAAAACACTTGTGTGCCAGATTGATTAATGCTTTTCTTCCACTCAACATCATTTCTCCATATAGATAAACACCCATGCCCTAAAGAAAAAAATATCACATATTTTTATCATAAAGAGCTTACTGTGAAAGAAACATATCCCAAAATTTAGTATGCAGATAACCTGTCCTCTGTTATTGTTGTGGATGAAGATATTTTACCAAGGACATGCCCCTTCCCATAATTTTACCACAAAATACTGTAGACCACAGAGCCAATTACCATTGTGGCCTCTAAGTGTTTTACAATATAAAATATACATTAGAAAACAAGTTTGTGTTACAGTCGTGTCCCCTTTTTTGCTTGCTGTTAAATACTGTAAACGTATTTCATTTGGCCTTGTATTCTTTTTAGCTTTTTTGGCAGAAAATAAAAACTTCTGCTAATTCAAGTACAACACTAAATATATATACTTTAATAAGAACATTCAGAAATGCGCTAAATCAAATCTACGCTAACTTGTTCAAAAATCAATATCTGCCAAATAGCTAAATATAATACATTACAGTATTCTATTAGGCTGTTTCCCCAAAACTGAATTAGTTTTCCACTGGCCCATTACCTGATGATCTATAAGGAAGTCCTGAATATCTTTGTAAAAACTACTGCTTCTCTGTCTGCACTTTATTATGAGTTCACACCATCTGTGTTTGATCTGAAAACATATACATTGTACTTGACCTTCTCATACAGGGACAATGACAAAATCAATAACATGACCAGCTTTAAAAATAAAATTTGGGGTCTAAAAATAATTTTTGACCATGTTTGATTTACTTTACTCTTAATTTCATCAATTCACTGACTAACAGACTTCAATATGACAAACCTCAGCATTGCAGGTTTCTAGGTGATACTTTTTCTTCAGACTTGATAAACCAAACCATGGAATCTCATTTTCATCCAGAAGTAATTCTAAGAATAATATCAATTCATCTGGGCTGCACTGTAAAAATAAGAAAGGAGTCAATCTTTAAACTCTGTTGAGTGCACTAAATGTTTTCTTGCATTGTACAGACATGGAGTTAACAGAAATCTATGTTTTCTTGCACATGAAAATAAAATTCTATATGCGTACTTACATCCTTTAATTCTGCAATTATAGTAGACTCAGACTTTCTTTTCCTATAGCTTTCACAAAACAGATCAACCTATTCAAGAATAATATTTAAGCTATAGAGTGTACAGAGAAATTGAAGAAGTCTCCCTTTCTGAATGGTCATCAATGGGATATCAAGTTTACCTGACTCTTCACATTTTGCACAGTTTTGCTTCCTTTCTTTACTTTTTCTATCATGTCTGATACTGCCTGCAAACAAATAAGAATTTGTTATTTTTATGTCTTAGAATGAACATTTTCCTAATGTTTAAAAGGTGTACATAATTACACGGCAATGATATATATACAATGTATAGTGGAGTATGTTTTCCTCTACCAATGATGAAACAAATTCTGTTAATCCATGCTGTCAAAAGATTCATCATTTAGAGTTTAAAAAAAAAAATCAAAAATTCTGGATTAGACTTACTGATGGCAAACCTGAGCATTCCAACCAAACAGAGGACAATTCTGAAGCAGTCAGCCCAGTTGCACTAAAACCAAAGTTAGAAAGATAATGCATTTGATGAAAATTGAGAATTTAAAACATGTATTTTCTATATTGCTTTCTTTGCCTGTAGGTTTAAATAATACTTACGCTATTTCTTCACATTTATGGATAAAAAATTGCAGGACCTCCTATAAACATAATCTTTACAATTATTACTTGACACTCACATGTAAAATATACACTATAGTTTTATCATGTATCTAAATACACAGATTGATAATCAAATTCTTTGGAAAGTCAAAGAATGTTACCTGAGAGGAAACCAGTTTTCCATGAAACTGCTGAACATATTTTCTGAGACATTCTAAAAATTTCGCAGTTCCAGCTAATTTTTCCAAGTATCTAAGTAGGAAATATCCCTAAAAATAAGATAAACTTTATAATACATAACTAATTTATTGACAACAAAAATTCATTACTTTTAAAGTTTGGACAATTTTTTTTGTTTGGCTGGACAAGCATTTATAAAATAAAGAAAAAAACAACACTAAAACTCAAGACTGAACTTACTTTGAGGTAGTGAACCTGCAAGTATTTCTTCTCGGGGTTCATTCCATTTTTAACAAATGTTTTGTTGCTTCCTGACTCAGTACAATCTGGTCTGTGAAAAGAAATACGTATTTGAAAATTTTGTGAATATGAATAATACAACATTCTGTATTATGACCAACATTTTAATCAAAATCAGTAAAATCATCACATCTGAATGTACCAATATTAAGTTAAATACAATGTATAATGCTTGCACACTTGAGTGTTTGAAGGGTTTCTTCTGTATTCTGAATTTCAGCCGTCAGGATGCGGAATTTAATGAGGTCTCTCAGATCACGGATGTCATCCTCCTCCTCTTCTGAAATTCTCCCCAGTCTCTGTTGAATTAAATCAATAACCCTTGTAATATTATTGTTGTCTTACAGTACTCAATAAAGAGCTTTCAATATACACTGTAAATGTGGTTATACATGTATTGAAGGGCTTAATGTTTGATGATATTGATATTTTAGGAATATGGCAAAGGAAAATTTTGATGATCTAATAGTATTTTTTTTAAAAATGTCCTTTAATTAAAAAAGAATGCCAAATTTGAAAAGTGGAAATTTCAAAGACCTTTTTAAAGTCAATTTCATCATCATTTTTACATCATCAATGTTTCAACTTTTTACTTACTCGTAGCACCCTGAGGTGTATAATGTCCTCAAAATAGGTACAGAATCCTTCTGTCAGCCATTCCTCAGTCCAGTCCACGGGGCCAATCACAATACCAAACCAGGTGTGACAAACCTCATGAGCGAGGCGGTAAAACATGGATAGGTCTGTCTGTAGGAGGGACTGGGATAAGTATAGAACACTGGGGCTGAAACCAAATTTTATACATCAGTAATGATTACCCTTTGTCTAGAAATAACTTTATAGGTTATAAAATATTTATGCATTATGGATTTAAACACATTTGGTTTACACTTTACCTTGCCATTCCTAAACTGTCAAAAGATGCTGGTACTATCAAAATTTCCTGTCTTTTCATTGGATGTTGTCCAAGAACAGCGGTAACCTCCTCTAGACACAGTGGAATGTACTGATGAATGGCATTCATTGAAGTCATCAGAATCTCAGGACCAAACACACGATAAGGGATCACTTCACTATAAGACCCAAATACACATTGCATGGTGAAGGATTAAGTCTCTAGAAATCCTTAATATACTAGGCGAAATAACAGATAACTTTACTAAAAATCTCAAATATACAGTAAATGGAAAGGGATGACACAAGAAATCCCATATGTTTACTGGTACTCATGATTGAATTATTTTTCAATTGAAGTCTTTCAAAATACAAAAGTGCAGTGGATTATATGGGATCTACTGGTACATGTACACATGCAAGAATTACCTATGAAATGACACAAAAATTGACTTGAGAAATGTCAAAGAAATGTATAAAAATAATGTACTTTCTCAGGTACATTTTGATTTTCACAAAATCTTGTCTTACTTCTTTGGTGTCTCTGGCTTTTTACATTCTTTCCAATGTCCAACAGCAAGTGAAAGAGTTGAACTTGGCATGGGAAAGGAAGTCCAAAAGTAAAAACATTCCATTTCTATAGAAAACACTCATACAGTTACATGTACATAAAACTCTTAACCCTTTCCATGGCAAAGATTTTAAGCATTTCTAGACAAATTGATATTAAGATTTCAAAGCATTTTTTTCAGGTATTTCTTGTAATTATTGTACATACCAACGTATATATATTCTGAAAGTAGGTATTGTTTAGCTTCTGAAAATGATTATAAAAGATATAATTTCAGTTGCCATGGCAATGAAATACACAATAATTGTAATTTCCAAAAATAATGTTCATTTTGGTTTTTCTTTGCTCAGTTAAATTTATTTAGGAATATTTTATTGTTATGTTGAAAATCATGAGTGTGTTGTACATTTTTTTTAAAAATCCAATTTAAAGTATTTTAGAGAAATGGGGTAGGGTTTAAGGTACAAGTAAACATCGCTCGAATAGTGCACAAAGTTTAAGTCAAGCTAGCAAAATACTGGTACAACCAATAAAAAAAATTTCTGCATATTATTTTATCGTAATTATGTTCTCTTTCTAACGGTACAAGAATTATTCTGATATTTGCAGTATTAACGAAGTTATGAATGTTTGAACACAATAAACTCGTTTTTCAAGTAAGATGCGTAGAAATGCGTATATGCCATGGAAGGGGTTAAACATTACTGGTCATATTAGAAGGATATATTTTTTGTGTGTAATTTCATCCAGTCTTCATTAACTCTTAAATTCCTTGAAATGAAATATATATAAACATTAAGATTAAATGTAAATTCAAATATTAGATTTACTGTTTTCTAATTGTTTTCTCTGTGGATTGTGATCCCCACTCATGATGACAGTCATTCCCTGGGGTACATAAATAAAGGCTTGCCATGTCGCCAGGGCCTCAGGAACATCTTGACTAGGAAACAGTGAACGGTTGTTGATCCAGTGTCCATGTGTGTACACACAGTCACTACAAACATCAATAACACAGTCAATACAACATACAGACATGAGTGTGGATTATTTAGTGCACCTTATACATCATAAAGATTCATTTACTGTAATGTGATACCACTCAATATTCTCTAGCAGTGTTAAAAAGAGTTGCATATATACAGAACACCAACCCAATGTTAGAGATATAAAAAATATATTACATTGTGCAAGTTTTTAAATTGTTCAAAGTGATCATAGAACTACTGTAGAGTATCAACTTTACTATTATATGTACTTACTTGCCATCTTGATCTTTTGACCATTTTAGAGAATGTCCATCTAAAGTTTTATATGAAATATTTATTGCCCTCAACTCATTTTGATCTTTTTTACAATCAGGTACCTGAATTTTTAAACACTGGTCTCCTAATTCAAATTTGAGTGGCGTGCCAGTTGTTCGAGTATTTTTTATTAAACAGTCTGGTGAACTAAATGTTTCTGAGTCAATGCTTGATGTCACATTCTCTTCTGAAACATTTTGTATTTCCAACTTATGACAGTCTAATATCAATGTGAAATCCTTAATTTTAGTGTCACCTTCATTGTTAAAATTTTTGCTGGATAATTTTTTTAATATTTGTGTATTCTCAAATGCCTGAACTGAACTTTTCATTTGTTTGTTTGGAGACACACCAATTTCTGACTCAGAGAGGGGTCTTTTGTCAAGAAATTGAGTTTTTCCAAGATGTGCACTAGAGCTCCCCAATTCTGATGTTTCTTTGCTTACATGTTGATACGACCATGATGACTCAACAGAGTTATGAAATTTCGGTAAATGCAAAAGTGGTTCATCAGTTTTTACAGTCTCAGTTAAATTGGATTCCTGAACTACATTAGAGCTCTCTGGGTTATAAGAGTTGGAATCTCTTTCACAAATTTCATAATTTGAACTATTGGAGCAGATGACATGACAAGAAACACTGGGCTGCTCAGTCTTGGGATTACTTTCAGGTCGCCGAGTGAAAAAGACAGTTGTACTGCCATGAAAGACTTGATTTTGAAGATCACAATGCAGATTAATTACGTAATGATGCACGTGTATTTCCGATATGTTTGCGGACAGTGGCAGGTCATATTCTCTTCTCTTTTCAATATTCTCATTCATCATTAACTTTGTGAATGAAAAAAAAATGTTTTAAAAAGAATTTATCACATTGTCAATTAAATTTACTAAATGATAGATTTAAAAACTTAACATATCTGAAAAAAAATACAATGACAACTTGTAAATCCTGAGGTAAATCGTCCTTCTCTCTCAATTCTCTGTCAAAATAATGAAAATTTTCATGAACAATATACTGGAAATACACATTGCGTTATAAAAGAAAGAATTGATAAGTAACTTCCGTAATCCGGATAAGATAAAATGCTCCTGAGTGCTCTTTTTCTAACAAAAGTCCAGCAAAAGTCCTAAATGATATTGACAGTAAACAAGGGAATGTGGGAAGGTAATGACATACCTAGACAATACACTATAGACCATACAAATGTATGTGAGTTGTAAAGTGCACGTTTTTACCGGCATTAAAATTGTAGAGGAAATTCGGGAAGGATGAAAAATATATGTCTGCACAATTTCTATGGAAATGTTGTGCCAAAAACTAATATAGGAGGTTGAATTTATCTTGATATGCTCCATTTAGTATTACATTAGTTGTAAAATCAGTTGTTCTTGTCTATAAATAAATTGATTCCTATCTGTCTTATTTTCCAGGGACTTGGGAATATTGCCTTGGTTACTGGGAGAGTTTCCAGGAGACACTGAGTGACTTGGACATTGATTACTGGCGCTGGGTGCTTTGGGTCATTTACCCAATCATCATATCTTTTTTACTCCCAATTTTTATTCTTCTGTTTCTGTATTGTTCAGCATTCTTTCTTCATTTGTACAACTACCGGCACAACTTCAGAGAAGCTTACCATCATGACATTTGGGATGGAGCCAGGACGGCCATAGCTGCAGCATGGGATGCTCAAGGAAGAATCTGGCATGGTAATTTAAAGTTAATTTTGTAATGCTGTGTAACTGGATAGGAGAAAAATTCAGCAGAGCAGACCGGGATTCGAACCTTGGCCCCCTGACTCTCCAGTCAGGTGCTCTATCAAGCTATCTGGCCGCTGGCCATCAAACCCATCTGACCACCACATTTCTCCCTCCTTTATGGTCTTAGTCTTCAGAAGACACCAATCCAGGCACTTCCCTAGCATGTCTTTTAACTGTCACTTACAGGGCATGTCATGATACCAAATCTGTAACAGGAAAGGATTGACTGTATGGCATGATAGGGAAACAAACCCAGGACCTTTGATCACCAATTAGGTGCTCTTCTGACTGAAGTACCCAGGGTGATATTCATGACCCAAACCATTACAAATATGTAATAGTCTATGGATTGGACCATGGATGTCAACCTGGGTTGCTCCTTTTGTAGTCCACACCTCACTGTTGGTACAGGGATATTGATTTCGATTCCCAGTCCAGCTATAAATTTTCTCTTTCCCTGTAATTTGATACCATTGACTACCCCAGGTCTTGCAGATGAAAGTAGTCTTTCAGTGCAATAAGAACTTGAGTTGTGTCTTCTAGGGTGAAGACAAATTGATTAAGGAGAGAGGAATGCAATTGTTTAGGCCATGGATGTTTGGGTAGCTCAGTAAGAAGGGCACCTGACTATAAGTGATGCAGGGGTCCAGGGTTTGATTCCTGGTCCAGTCTACATTTTCTCTTTTTCCTGTTACAGATGCCTTTTCATGAATGATCATTGTTATCAGAAATGATAGGGCTCATAAGGAATGATACAGTTCTAAAGGCAGACTTCATTTTCGAAAAAATATACTTTTTATTTTCTGAATTTTATATCTCTCCTACATTAGGATTATTATTATATTCATCAACTTATATGAATTTCTAGGTTTTGAGATAAAAGGTTTAGAGAAGATCCCTGAAGTTGGTGCAGCCTTGATCGTTTACTATCATGGAACTCTGCCTGTAGACTTCTACTATCTCATTGCAAGATGTCTACTGGAAAGGAAAAGACATATTAGAGCTGTCGGTGATAATTTCCTTTTTCATATACCAGGTATTATAGAAGTTTTTTTTATTAATGCTCATTTTTAACAAACTGTGCTGATCATGTTTGAGCACTGTATTTTTGGTTTTGTTTCTGACAGGATTTAGAAACATTTTGGAGGTTTTCAGAGTCACACCTGGTACTGTCCAAGAATGTGTCAAAGTACTGAATGATGGACACTTGTTAGCTATAGCACCAGGTAAAGTCTGCTGATTTTTATACATATCTTACATTTATTACACCAATCTTTGTTAACATATGTACCCACAATTGTAACCGATACAAAATCCATATTTTGCCTCTTGTCAATTTTTTTTTGCTATATGCATACCTGAAAATCTGACACTGCATGATTTTGTAAAATGATTACCTTCTTTTTACCACAAAACTTGTTTCCTCTATTAGCAAAACATTTTGTTATCTCGAATTATATGTAAATGAGAATAATTCATCTGGATACTTTGTATGTTGGCCTTGAAAATTATCACATTCTCAAATAAGGGTAGTTCATTTTTAAATGAATAGTTTTTCCAGCTAATGCTGAGGAAAATTAAATAGTAGTTAATTGTATTTCAGGTGGAGTAAGGGAGGCCCTGTTTGGGGATGAGAATTACCCAATCATGTGGGGGAAACGACAGGGATTTGCCAAAACTGCTATACAAGCAAATGTGGTAAGACTTCGTCCCTTAAGATTAATTTGATTAAAATATTTTTCAAATATTCCTGCCATATGATTTTTGAAAAATGAATATTACTGGTGAAAGTCTGTTATCTATCTTATGTTTCTCTTTTGTTTGACCTTTTTGTTAATCACTGAGCTTTTAAAATCAATCATGACATAATGGATACCAGATTAAAAAAACAAAATGTAATTTTTCTTAAAATTTTCCACTAGCCAGAAAAGAGTGAAAAAGAGTGAAAAAAAGATTTATTCTCAGTGAATATATTATCATTACTCCCTTCCATTCAGACTAGTAAGTCCATTTAATTATTTTAAGTATTATGCTTTAAAACATATTCAAAGGTAATTTTTATAAAAATATATATATTCACTGTTCTTATTTTGCAGCCAATCATTCCAGTATTTACACAGAATGTGAGGGAAGCCTTCAGAACACCCAAAATCACTAGGTGTAAGTCAGGTCTACTTTATCAAGTATCAAACATTGTGGAAAACTAAGTGGAACAAACTTACAGACAGACAGAGGGACTAACAGACAGATAAACAGAGGAGGGAACTTATAGTTCTGGCCATAAGACAAGTGGGTCTATAATGAGAGACATTAATAGAACAAGATGTGTTTGTGAAACACTGATGCCCCCTTATGGCTAGGGTTGAATTCTCTCAAATACATTTCCAATGCCAAGGTCAAGGTCAAAGGGTCAAAAGTGTTGGTACTCAAAGGAAGGCCTTGTTACAAGGAATATACCTGTGAAATATAAAAGCCCTATTTCTAACTGTTCAAAAGTTATGACCAAGGTTAAAGTTTTTAAAAAGTGGGTCAAACTCTTAGGTCAAGGTCAAACTATTTACATATGTTTACCAGCTGAAAGGTCTTGTTACAATGAATACACATGTGAAGGATGAAAGCTCTAGCTCAAATTATTCAAAATTTATGGCCAAGGTTAAAGTGTAGTACTTGTTTTTGAAAAAGTAGGTCAAACTCCAAGATCAAAGCCAAGAGGTCAAATTTGGCAGTACCCATGGAAAGGTCTTGTCATAAGGAATACACCTGAGAAATATGAAAGCCATAGCCCCACCCACTCCATAGTTATGGGCTAAATTAAAGTTGACAACAGACAGACAGAGAGACAAACAGACAGACAGGACAAAAACAACAATAGGAAATAAGGCTTATAAACATCCTCCAAGTCCTTTTTTAAGGACATACACATATAATCAATCATCAATAATTTTAAACATAGGTAAATTTTTATTAAATCTGTAATAGACTGTTTTTCATGAATTATAATTTTCAAGGAAATGTTTTTCAAAGGCTTATAAGTAATACTGAACACCAGAATCTAGATATCTGTGGCTCTGTTTAATTTTTATTGAAATAACATTTTTTGAAAAATATATTGATCATCTTAATTCATCTGCTTTTCCAGCATGCCTTCGAAGACTTTATGAAAAGACCCGCCTCCCCCTTGTACCAATTTATGGATTTTTCCCAGTTAAATTCAAGTATGTGTGTAATTAGAGCCGTAAGATTTGGATGGCGAATCAATTATATATCGGAAAGATTTTTGATCAAGTAAAGAACCATCAATAGTACTACTCTGAATTTTGAGTACTTTAGGTATTTTTATTACTCTTGTTTATAATTTAAATTGTAAATTTCAGTATGGTTATTGGTGATCCTATTTATCCAAAAGAAGATCAGAGTTCTGACGCTTTAGCAAATGAGGTATGTAGTTTGAATGGACTCTTAACTGAAACTCTACCAAAAATAGAAATACCAGGAATATCTCTACTTTGAGAACTGAAATTCAGTAAAAGAAAACAATATCCCAAATAACTTCTATCAGATTCTTAGTTCATACCATGATATTAAGATATTTAACAAGATGTAGTATGAATGTTAAACAATATATTTTTGTAGGTGATGGATGCTGTAGGGACTTTGATACACCAGCATCAGAGACTTCCAGGTAACATACTGTGTGCCCTGATGGACAGGTTTATGTAGACTCTAGAGGTGATCCGAACTTGGCTTTCATTAAAATATAATCCTCAGGTTATATCGTAGAAATTACAGCTGATTGTGTTCAACTCTGTATTTGTTGATGAACATTGTCTCTTAATGTTTAAAAGTGTGATACTCAGATTCCAGACTGTAGAATGTGTTGTACTAGCTTGTTAGCTATATATGTTTACGAATTAGGACTTACTACCTGTGTCTATGTTATTTGTTCTTTAAAGGCAGCACCTGTAGTGGTAGATACATATTACTGTAGATAGTTTACATTTTCAAAAAACTTGTGACGTTGCAATGAATTTTGAAAATGTTAAATTGTAACCTTTTTTTCTAGTCTTTAAATTTTTCATCATATAGAGGATTAAGTTGCAATACTTTTTATAAATTATATAGATCTACTATTATTGACAATTTAAATTTTTTAAAGAAATTCTTACTGCATTTTTTTTCAAAAACAAGTTTCTTGATGTAGAGGTTCTTTGGGTCAGTTTAATTAACGAACACTCAGCATTTTTTCTTTAAATCTTAGTATATTTTCCTGTTAGATTTGAGATATAATAGATATGTACATTAATGTATTCCAGAGGCTGATTCTAGCTCAAGTTATAAAATTGTATCAACATATTTATAATCATGATAAATTTATCCATAATGTCATATCCTCACTGATGCCTACTTAACTTGTTGATATTAAAAATGTTATAAAAGTTTGATATAAAAATATAGTCAATACTCTTGAAATAATACTGTAATATAAAGACATTAAGTCACGTTAAAGTGTAATATTAGTTGAGCCACATTTAAACCGAGAACTTTCATGTGTGGACTGACTTCTTAATGCTATTGATTTTAATATGTGCAATATGCATGTACAGGTATGTCTCTGCTAGATACTGTATACAGGGAAATTTTCGTCCCCCCCTTTTTTTGCCCCCTTTGCCCTATCCTCGTTTAGGCAAATTCAAAATGAGACAGATTCAAAGAATACAGTGTAATTTGTTAAACAAAATTATGACTGGGCGAATTTAAAACCGGACAAAACTGTTTGCAATTGTGAAAGTTAATTAGAGAGCAAAAATAATGAGGGGCGAAAATAACCCTGTATACAGTATTTCAAAATTGTCCCAACATCACTTCCCAACATCACTTGTTTATATGTATATGCTGCATCTGTCTTTTTATATTTTCATTCTTGGGAGAGATTCATTTTGTTTATTTTCTCAGTGAATACATTTGATTTCAAACAATGAACACCTATTTATTATCAAATTTTTATATCATATTAATGAAGTAGAGGGGTCCAACTTTATGTCAATTTTTTGTTGAATATCCATTGTAAATATATTCAATAATAATATATAAGCACTGAACTTATTTTGCATTTTTTTTCTCTCTCTCTCTCTCTCTCTTTTTTTTTGGTATAAAATGAACAATATACATATTTTTTTTTGAAAATGAATATCATTGTATTAAATTTTGTACATTTTTATTGAAATGCACAATGTTAAGATTTCCATGTGAAGTCAGTGTGAGGAATATATGTTGTATGTTTAATTTCCATGGTGCTTCAGAAAAGAACTCTGTGTTATTTATTCCTGATTGGTTGAATGAACACATCACTCATTGCAAAAAAAAAAAATAAAAATGATAGGCTGTTGCATTGAACTTTAGAATAGAATATGTCTTTCACTAAGCTGATCATGTAGGTTTATTTACATTTTTTGCCCATTATGATCAGAAACTTTAAGTTTGTCACTCTTGGTGCACTTCTTTTCCTTATACATGTAGTTTATATAGAAAGTATTTATGAATTAACATTATGATCAATATTTTGTTGCAAGTATAAAGGGAGTTTGTATTTGTTGTTAATATTAATAAATCTTTGTTTAAATAATTTTCTGCATTAATTATGTTTACTGTCTTAACATTCAGTATTTAACAAAGAGGAGGTAGGATGTGCTGCAAGACAGTGATTTAAAACTAAAATTAGACTAGCCTCAAAATTTCTATTTTGTTAAAAAATTTAAGAAATATTATTGCTTTATGGTACTTAATTTGGTGAATTAAATCAAACCAGAAAATATAATGTGCATTTTGCTTTATATATTCGTCAGCAACAGATTTACATCCCCCCATATTTCTATGTAAAATTTTGATTGTCCATTGTGGCTCCTCCCTACTCACCCCCACACCCATGATTTGAATCTTCTCTACCCATTTTAAAATACTTCCATATCAATATGATTAGCCTTATTGTTCTCAAGATTTTCCCAACATATTCCTTTGTAAAAAATGCCATTGGGGTCATATAAAAAATGTACACATTTTTTTTTCAATACCTGAAAATGCTACAATACCATTTTAATGACATATTGTGGCCTTTCTGTTCTTTAAAAGATTTTTTTCTAGATATTCCTTTGTAAAACTTTGATCCATTGTGCCCCCACCTTACCCCTGGGGGTCATAATTTGATTAATATGAATAATCGTGGCTTTGATGTAAATGGGAAGAATTGTGTAGATTTTTCCTGTTTACAAAATCCTATGTTGAACTTTAATCCCCTTGTTGTGACCCCCCCCTTTTTTTTGGTCCTTCATTGAAAAAAAGTTATACTCCCTAAAACTCAAAGATACCCCGTGCCAAGTTTGGTTGAAATTAACCCAATCGCTCTGAAAATGGTTTACTGCAATATCTACAACGTATTGACTGTGACGGACAACAGAAAAAGCTCTCTTGATCCAACAGCTCAACCTGTTTTAGGAATTAGGACCGCAATCACGCATGTCCACACCTGAACTGTATTCTTGAATTTCTATTTCCTTTTAATCTTTGGAAGTACATTGTATTAGAGATGTGATACCTAGACCATATCCAGTTTTCACATCATAGTTTAATGATGAAGGGAAAAGTTCAGTGGCATGCGTGTAGAAGATGAAAACAAGTAGATGACGTTGATATTTGTTTCCTGTCTGATAATCTGTACAAGTACTGACAAACAGACGGTGAGTTATATAAGATGTAGACACAATGTTTGCTCACATCTTTGATTACCTTGATGATAAAGTACACCACAAGGTCGCTTGACGTTTCATCAACGATCCCTAAACTGGGAACATGTGTTTGTACAATTGTGAAGATTAGTAGATATTTCTGAATATCTTGCCACGTGAATGCTGTAAAATTTCTGCTTTTACTTCAACCATGAACAGATCTGGACTGAGGAATTACAGAAAATGCAGTTGAGGTTCACATGAAGAACATAATTACTTACAAGTTGTTAACAATTCCAAGAAAGAGTTATGTATACAGGTCAGACAAACCTGTATTTATTTTTAGAAATGGAAAAATGATATTGTTCAGGTTTAGGTTTTGATTTATGGAATGATGTACAAAAATATCTTTATAAATTCGTTTTTTATAATTCTTTAAATCATTGTTCCTCAACTTTTCCATTCACTAATGCCTCTACTGTACAAAGTCCAAATCTTTGAGGACATCTTGATGTTGCTACGTCACTTCCTGTTAATTCTCCATTCACTAAATACTCCTTGCCAACTTTCTCCTGGCACCACTTGATCAGTTCATCAGTTTGGGGAGTAGGAACTTCCACTATAAGCGCAATCCCCTTTATGACCACTAATCCTGCTTCTAAATCCTCCACCAGACGTCCAAAATCTGGCACGAGACCACCGTCTGCTTCCTTCATTGTGTGTTTGACATCAGCAAATTGCTTATTGGTGGTGATAGTACTGTGCAAATCAGCATTGTTGCTAATGTCTCCCTTGAATCTTTCCAAACACCACTGATACAAATCCTGTACACTCGTCAAATCAACTTTGACCTTCTCGGACGTTGTAATTGCTCGCGACACTTCCAAGCATTCTTGGCTGCAAGTATTCAGTATTTCAGCAGTTTCTTTGCTCATTCCATGATAAAAGAGTGGTGCTTCGGAGAGCGGTTTCCCATCCCATTTATTCCATTGTCCATGCATAATTACTGGACAAAGGAACGTATTTGGCATTAATGTAACCTCTAGAAAATGCTTGGAAGGACGAAATAATGGTTTACTACCGTGTATCATTTGCAGACACATAAGAGGTGGTCGTCTGCAAATTCCTCTTCCGCGAACAATTGAGCCTACCAAAACCTGCATCGCACCGAGTGCCTCTACATGATTACCGAATTCTATAATTTTAGATGTCCATGACGGTTCCTCAAAAGACAAGAAAGTACACAGATCGGCTTTATTGCCTAATATGTTGTAACATAGGTATTCAAATCCAGGTTTCCCCGGTAGTCCCACGATGACGGTGTTCTTGCTTGCTAATGGTTCTATTGCTTGTAGATATTTACCATGGTCCATTGCTGACGTTGTAAGGATGATGAGGTCACATCCGTTAAGAGCCTCCTTTGGATTACTCGTCACCATTCTTGGTTTAGCTTTCACTTCTCTCTTCGTTCCATTGTCTTCGTTAATGCTTAAGACCATCTCTTTCTTGTCGACGAGATTTTCCCATTTTGTTGCCTCTTCTTCGTTTAGGTCCAGAATGCGTGTTTCTGTGTCAGGATTGGACGCAGAGAAGGCAGCCACAAGGTGTGCGTTGCTGCCGCCACCACAGACACATATCTTTAACGGACCAGAAGACATGATTCCGAAAATCTGAAAAAAGAGATTGATTAGTTTCTACCTCGCCACAAAAATGTTTTTTATGATTTTTTGACTCCGTTGATCTAGAAGTTTGTCAGTTTGACCTACTTGTGAATTTCTACTGCAAACTCTGTGACTTTGGTCGTGACTTTTGACATGGGTAGCTTTTGAATTATGACCTCATAACCTTGAAGTTTAAACTTCTTTTCAAATATTTTAACTTTGGCCGCTTATTTTGCACCAAAGAGGCTATGCTGTAGTATTTACGTGTGCATTACATGTGTCAAGACATTTAAGAATGGTTTTGACCTCGTAACAAGATTTGACTTGAGACTTACTTTTTATATAAATTTTCCTCTTGAACGGAACTTCTCTGACAGAAATGACAGGATTTTATATTTTGTTAGAACATTTTCCTGTGATAAAACCTATAATTTATGATGTCATACTTTCCAGAATTACTACGAACTATAACCTTGAAGTTTGATCTTCATTTCAAAACTTTTAAGGAGATCTGCGCTTTTATGATCTAGTGTACATGTGCCTTACCTTGTACAAGACTATTCCCAATGTACTACTAGTAATTGTTTTTTACCTCATGACTTTGACCTTTTCGCATGTTAACTTTTGTCGTATCTTTTTTTTTACCTGAAGGGAGAAGGCTTTCATATTTTACATGTGAATGACGTGTGACAAAACCTCTCCAGATGTAGTTCTTGAATTTATTTTACCTCGATCATAACGTGATCTTGAACAGTTACAATATGTCAAAAATCATTGCGATTCAGCCAGTGAGACCCAATAGTTGGAGACCCAATTTTATGAAATTGCTTGCCTTCATTTGGAATTAGCTTTTGACTATAAAGAACTAGCAACCTGTCAATAAAAGCGAAGTATGAGGTTTGCATCTTTTCCAATTACCCAAAGTGAACAACTGTTAAATTTGGATGATCTTGTAGATCCAATGTTTTCCCCCAAGTCCGCAAAGTTCATACTTTACTAGTGCAGTTATTTAAAAGCTGAAGTTGGCAACCACCTACCAATACTTAGTTTCAGCAACAAAGCAGTGATATGTCTGTAACTTTGTATTTTTGAAGTTTAAGGGTGTCTGAACGTCTTTGATGGCACCCACGCACTCATGAGAAGATAGTTCAATGCGTACGTCGGTCAGTATATCTATATCACAATCAAAGGTTGATCAGTTCTGAAGGCTAGTATATTTATCGAGGAACAGGTATTTACTCCATACAATAGGAATGTTGATGCAAACGTTTTTCATGGCATCAGCAGATGCCAGCAATAAAAAAAAAATTTGCTTCTCTCTCAATTTGCTCATTTGATTATACGTCAACTGTTCTGACGTCAAATATAAGATCTACAAAACGCTAATTGCAACAAAGATACTGTAGGTGGGTAGCGACAGAAATACAACTCATTGTGTTCTGCATAATGAAACAAAAGATTGGTTGTCTGCCAATTGTGACGAAATTCTCGCTTCAATGTCATTTCTAATTTGGTATCTATAAAGTATAACATTTCTAGATTTAAAAGTTTAAATTTTAATGATAATTGTAAATTTCTCAACAATTACGCAACCTATATGTAAAGGAAGCATTTATAATGACCAATTCCAAGAAAATTTTAAACGTTAAGTCTCTTAAAAGAAAAATAATACCCATTGGTCAGAGGGCCTTTTGACTCAATTTGTTATACATGTATATGTTTTTTACATAATCAAAATATATTGGTCACTCACCTGTTCAGGAAATAAAAGTCCAGCAAGAGTGGCACACACACGGTGGCTGCTGAAACAATACGGCGCGCGCACGTGCAGAAATTGGATCTGCACTGTAGAGGATCATATAATTTATCCTATTCAGTTCGCTGCATGACAGTATAAGCGTGCCGTGGTTATTACATTTGTTTTCACTTTTCCGGGCTCATCATGGAGCTACTTTGAATACCTTGCTATATATACCAAGAGTCTGTCAATAATAATCAAGTTGTTGTTTTTTCCACAGAGTATGAGCCAACACATGCTCTCCAGTGAAACGAGATGTCTTTGAACAACTTGTGCTCTCTTCTTTAACAAAGCATGATATTCTACTAGACCAGAGTCAGCTATTGTGGAATCATTATCTTGTCTAAATACCATTAGTTTTTATTTCTGTTTTTGCATTATAAGTGCTTTGTTGCTGTAATTCGGTTGATTGAAATTAATGAGATGAGTCGAATTCCTCGATTTGCCCTTGAATTCCAAGTATTTCAAATATAAAAGAAAGTTAGACAGAAATATACATTCGTATTAAATTAACGAACATAAGAGAAGGTAAAATAAATATAAATAATAAAAGGAGGAATGCGCGAAAATAAACATGATCAGCCAATGTGTATACAGTACAATATGCTTATAACGAAGAGCCAAGGGTGGGGGATTTTGCTTCGTCATAATTAAACACCATTCATTATATCTGATTAGTTACAATATATTTTAAAGCTACTTAGGGGAAGGAAAACCATTTTTTTTAAAGTACTGACCAGGTCATTATAAGCATACTGTTCATAGCCCCCCCCCTCCCCAAATAGGGACAAATATAGCTTATTTTAGTGTCCTTTATAAAACAAAGAAAATTGAAGGCTCATATAATACTTAAGATAAATAACTGAAACCATTGTTACTATTTTTTTTTATTACAATACAACAATTAGAATTGAAAAATGGAATCATATGACAAGGATAGTGGGGAAAAATATGTCTTAGTGGCACATTCATACAAAAATAAAAGTGATAAGTGTACATTTCCCGAGATGAATTGAATACAAGTGCACCTTTTTATTAAATTTATTTTACTTAGTTTTTTTTAAAAAACACATTTGTGACAAATCACATATCAAAAGCGCAATAAATATATGTGCATGAAATGCACATTTAAATATTGTTCTTTCTTACAGATTTTATTTTAATAAATAAAATCTGCAGTAGCCATATATATTACAGAGTTAATTTATTGAAATAAAACTGGCCAGAAAGGACAATATATTGACAGTGTATCCTTTATCAGAAAATACAACGATTACAAGGCATCATTAAAATTTGATTTTTAACGTTGATATTAAAGATCGGTTCAAACGACCGAATTGGATTTTATATCTCTGTGGTTTTGCGGGGTATGAAGATAGTCATATGTTTCACTTTTACTGCCCTTTGCCATTGATTTTGTGATAAGATAAGCTATTTGATTGACACATTTCTCGCTCTGAAATGTATAACTCTGATCTATTTTAAGTGACATACACAATATCGAAGTGTTTATAAATACAAAAAACTTTCATCCTGTTTCAATTTGCTTAACATACTCTTGATTGTGAAGGAGTTACAAAAAAATGGAGGACGTAAAGGATATTGCTAAATTACCATCATTTGCAGAATTTTTTTCGAGGACGAACCCTTGCCCATACCCTCTTTACTTGCCAAACCCGCCCCATGGCGCGCGGGGGGAGGAGCGCATACGCCGCCCTATGAACGCCTTTATGGTCTGGGCGAAAAGTGAGAGGAAGAAACTGGCAGCAGAAAACCCTGAAGTTCACAATGCCGATCTCAGTAAAATGCTCGGTAAGTGGCTGCAGATTTGTTAAAAATTTTAATGGTTTTGAATATTTCAATTAAACCTTAAAGGAAGGAAGGAATTCGATGCAAAGCAGATTATTTAGATGTTTGATCATTTCTAATTTGAAGGCCTTTTTTGAATTTTTCTTTGAGTTTGATGTAAATTCCATTATTTTTTATTTCTCTGCGTTTGGTGCGGTACAGCAATATAAATCAAACTATTAAAAAATACTTTAAAATTTACTTTGTACATTGTGTGTGGAGAAAGGGTTTCTTAAGGATTTGAACTTGCCACATGCTATCAAAGTCTGCTAAACAGCAGTATATTTTACTGATCAAATTCAATAAATCAAATATTTTTCTTCATGAACATTATTACATCATCAAAAAAGTTTTCTAGTGGATGTAATAAATTTTAATCAGATCTAAAGGGTAAAGACTTGCCTGTGATAGGTGGTAACGATCCGCAATAATGTTTATTATGTTTATAAACATTGCAATACACTTTTCCGTCGTGACGTTCTTTCTAAACATTTTTTTTTTCTCAGATTGCTATGAAATTCAAAAGTTTGACAGTTTTTTTTAAACGGGGACTGAACTTAACCCTTTTTTGCCTCATAGCATGGTAATTCGTAAATAAAATAATTGAAAAAAGTATAATGCATTTTTTTTTTCCATTTTAAAGTCACATGTAACATTGAAATAAATAAAAATAGGCCGAAATATTTTTGTCCTTGTAAGACAATATTTTGACCATTCGTTATCACCCTCCCTGTATAAGTAAAAAAAAAGTCCTTATCTCTCTTGCCAAATGCAGTATTTCAATAAAATGTAATCAAATCATTATTCCTCTCGACAAATGCAATATTTCAATAAAATACAATAAAATCCTCAAAATTCTTGCCAATGCAATATTTCAATAAATTGCAATAAAATCCTCATCCCTCTTGTCAAATGCAATATTTCTATATGATGGAATTAAATCGAGCTTAATCTCCTTCGTCAAATACAATATTTCTTCTCCCCCCCCCCTTTTATGACCGAAATCGAAGATTTGTGGGAATATAGTTTTGTGTCATGTCCGTCCGTCTGTATGTCTGTCCGCAAATACTTTAACATTGCCCATCACTTTGGCATTAAAGACCTTCCTTTGGGTATAAATATTGATACACTAGTATATTTGACCTCTTGACATGACTTTGGACTTTGATCCATTGCAATAAGTTTTGTACAGTTGGCACAAGGACTTTCAAACTAAACATGTGTATTTATTGTGACATGGCCTTTTTGGGAGTATTTTTTCTTAACTTTTGACCTTGACCTTAACTTTTGAACAATAACTTTAGGGTTTTCATATTTCACAGGTGTATTTCGTGTGACAAGTCCTCCCTTGAGATAACAACTACCAAGTATTTTGACCATTTGATATTAACTTTGGAGTTTGACTTAAAAAGTTCTTTACCTTGACCATTAATTTTGAACAGTTTGTGCTCCGCCCTTTACGTATAAGTCATTTCACTGGGTATCATTGATTTTGACCCTTTGACCTTTTCCTTGGAGTTTGACCCACTTTTTAAAACCTTGAACCTTGGCCATAACCTTTGAAAGGTTGGTTTGTTCTTGGGCTTGAGGGTTTCACAGGTATGTTCACTGAAACCAGTCTTTTCTTAGGAAACACCATTCTTGCTTTCTCAACCTTGGCATCAAAGTTAAACTTGTTTGATTAACTTTAGCCTTCGTATAGGCTGCCATATACGGGGTCATCAGTGTTTCATAATCAAATCGTTTCATGAACACATCTTAGTTTTTTTAAAGCACCTGCATTCATATTTGTTTATGATTTTGTTTAAAGTAAATCACAAGTGTTTTTCAACTTAATTATTTTCTGTGAATTGCGTAACTGGGGTAAATACTTTCATAACGTTACAAACCTTGTTATTACAATTCAAATATTTGCATAAACATATACGAGACGGTTTACTTTATAGGTAAGAGATGGCGAACTCTAAGTTCATCAGAAAAGAAATACTACACCGAACAAGCTGATGAGTTACGGGAGCAGCACATGAAAAAATATCCAAACTACAAGTATCGACCGCGCCGGAAAAAGTCCAAGTTCAAAGATTCTCTTGACGAGACGTTGTTGCCTAACATAAGCAAACAAGTGGAAACTGAATGTGTGTCAAAAGCTACCAACTTAACGCCCCCTGCAAGTCCAGAAGTGCCCCAAAGAGATGTACCACCCTCTTTGATTTCCCAATTTAACTATGCTGCAGAGCAAGTGGGGTCTGGCTTTGGCCTTACAAGTGCAGAACCATCCACGATTTGTCTTGGGTTTCCGGAAACTCCACCCTATCAAAACAATTTTCACGGCTTTGTCTTCCCTATGGGGTGTCAAGATGCTCAGACAGGAGTACACATGTACTCAGACGAACAATGTTTGACCTACTGGTCGGAATATGGAACTGTGTCATCGGGTGGTCAGGAAACGGAGCCCCAAAGCCAGCCTCCTCAGATAAACGACTACGTGTTATCATCTCAAGAACTAAAGGATGTGTCCGAAGTTGATAGTGATGAATTTGATCAATATCTAAAGACAGACCAAAGCAAATACAGGAACAACTCGACAGGTGAAATTGACAATCCAGTGTAAACAAGCCGATGTGATATTTGCAAGACGTTTCAACTTCCTTTGCAAAGTATCACGTGACTTAACCTTTTTAGCAAATCTGTTTGCTAGCGCATAAAACGAGATCACTTACATTATTGTATTAACTGCATAATACATTGTATCCAATGCATCTCAATAATCAGGTTCAAGAATTTTACATGTAATATTTGTTTATCTGACATACTGTGTATTTTTGCATGAAATTTTACTATTTACTCACTGTAGTGGAAATCAATGCAGGATTTTGCACGTCTTCCATTTTTACAAGATTACAAGCATGTTATTTTTCAATCTGTAGAGAAAAATCATTTACGATGTTGCATCATCAAATAAAAGGTTTATATTTAAAAACTTCCTGAATCTTTTAATTAAAAGGTGACATGATGTTTAATAATAGTAAACTTATGACTATGAATATGAAACTCAAATTAAAAGGTCAATATAAATTAGCAAACATTTATCGCTGATTACAGATAAGTGTGGGCGTGAACTTTATCCACGTGTCACTGTATAGTGAAAGTGTTTACACTGATGTATTATCATTATCATCGTCAACTTCAGAGATTTCTTAGAAGAAAATGGGGATTTTGCAAATTTTTTGTAGTACACTTGTTTTTCTTCAACTTGTATTCCGTTAATTAAAATTTTTAAAGTTATTAAAATAAAAATTCTAACATTTAAAAAAGACGTTTCACACCTATATACACATAGTTTGTCTGTTACTTTTTCAACTTTTTTCATTTCTTGTAATTAATTTTATAGATAGAAAACGATTTATAGAGTAAGAATGCTTTATGCACTATAGCTCTGTTTAGAAGCTACATTTTGTTTGACGTCATTAAAAAAGTACATATATATATACATACAGTCCAAATGGTAAAAAATTCTACCAGAAAAAAAATTTTTTTGAAATGCTTTACTAGCGGAATCTACAAATACATGTATACAGTCATGTGAAAAAAACTTCTTTTTTAGCTCACCTGAGTCGGTAAATTGATCGAAATTATGTTTTCTTTGTCGTAATTAAACTCTTCAAATTTTCATTAGTACAGAGTATCCTTGGGTAAAGATATTCAAGTTTTTTTTCTAACGAAGGTACGTACATAATCTTCTAATGGGAAATGATAAAAAACAAGAGACCCATGGGCCTTATAGGTCACCTGAGTATCATGCAACAACTTTCCAACAATTGAATTTGATTCATGTTTTAATCTAGAAGTCATGAAATTCACAATTTTGAAAGAGGCACCATTGCTTATCATTATTATGCACTCAGCATGCTTTCTTTGGTTAGTAATACCCAGAGATACATGTAGATCACAGTAACAAAGAGAAAATGCATTTCCACTTTATCATTATCAGTTGTGCACCCCATCCCACAGGAACCACTGACCCTGGGGCCACATCTTTCAAAATTTTGGAAATTTTATAAATTTTATTTCATCATCTTGTTGATTAATAGCAAAGTGCAGATTTCAAAGCATTAAATCATTTTCAGCCCCCCCCCCCCCCCCCAAGTACCCCTGTCCCAGGGGCCAGGAAATTAAGCATGTTTGGATGAAGCAGCGTTCTTCGTCATAAATATGTACTAAGATCATTGCCATAATACCCAGGATCAAAGGAGAAGATTTTCAAAGAATTCGAGCATTTTCACTGTATAAGCATTAGAGCCCTGCCATAACACAAGAAGTCCTGACCCAGGGGCCCTGAAATTCACAAATCTCAAAGAGGCATCCCTCCTCCTCATAACTATGTACATAGTTCATTGGTTTAATACCCAGGTGCAGAAAAGAACATTTTTAAAGAGTTCATGCATTTTCACTATATAAACAATAGAGCCCCACCCTAACACCTGAACACCCAACCCCGGGGTCATGAAATTCACAATTTTGGAAGAGGCAGTCTTATTCAACATAACTATGTACTTGGTTAGTTTATTTAATACTCAGGAGCAAAGAAGAAGATTTTCAAAGAAATAATTCATTTTCACTATATAATCTATATAGCCCCGCCCTGCCACTAGAACCCCTCACCCTGGGACCATTAGATTCACAATTTTAGAAGAGGCAGCCTTATTCACCATAACTATGCACTTGGTTAGTTTATTTAATGTCCAGGAGAAGAAAAGAAGAATATCAAAGAAATAATGCATTTTCACTATATAATCTATATAGCCCCGCCCTGCCACTAGAACCCCTCACCCTGGGGCTATTAGATTCACAATTTTAGAAGTGGCAGCAGTTATTAATGTAATTATGCATTTTGTTAGTTTATTTAATGCCCGCAAACAGAAAAGAAGAAAATCAAAGAATTATTGCATTTTCACTATAATAATCTATATGGCCCCACCCAAGCACTAGAACCCCTGACCCTGGGGTCATTAAATTCACAATTTTGGAAGAGGCAGTCATTTTCAAATCAACTATGCACTTGGTTATTTTATTTAATGCCCAGGAGCAGAAAAGAAGAATTTCAAAGAAATAATGCATTTTCACTATATAACCTATTTAGCCCCGCCCTAGCACTAGAACCCCTGACCCTGGGGCCATGAATTTCAAAATTTTGGTAGAAGACTTAATGCTGATTACAATCATACCAACAGTTTGACTGCTTGATGTCCAGGAGTAAAGAAGAAGATTTTTAAAGATTGCACTAATTTTAGTTTAATTTTATTTTTTAATTTTTATTTTTAATTTTTAATTTTTTTCCCCTTCACCTATAGATGCTATATGCCAAATTTGGTTGAAATTGGTTCAGTGGTTTCAGAGAAGAAGCTGAAAATGTTCAAATGTTAACGCACGACAGAGGACAAAAACAGTAGCAATAGGTCACCTGAGTTTACTCAGGGGGGCAGGGACCTCGGGGGGGGGGCAATTTTGAACCAATTTCAACCAAATTTGGCATATAGCATCTATAAGTGAAAGGGAACAAAAATTGTGAATTTCATGGTCCCTGCCCCCCTGAGTTTACTCAGGTGACCTAAAAAATCTTTGCAGTCGCTTACTTGTCCACTTATAAGACGTTTTTTCAGTCACTTTTTTAGGAGATTTTTGCAAGTTTCAAGTTTTCAGAATATTGAAACTGTTTCATTTTTTATTTTTTACCAATTAGTGGCTTATAATTAGCAAATCTTTTTAACACTTAAAAACCTTTGAAAATCTCTATCATGAATGATATTTAAGCATAAAATTTTATTGAGAACACATCATCATGCATACATAACAATTAGAACTGCATCACTTGTCATGTTTATCAGGAAAAACTAGAGAAGGAAAAAATGAATCTTAGATAACCTAAGTCAAGTATGACTGTTTTCAGCTGCACATTGTGCATAACATGAAAATAATTAAAACACAGTTTATTCAACATTTTAAGTTAATTTAATTGTAATTAAAAAACATATTCAGTTCCATTTGATGTTGTGGTGTTGATATTTTGCAGGTTAATGTATAGCTTCAGAACTGTAGCTCTCTGCTTGAGAAAAATCTCGGAGAGCTACAGTTCTGCAGCTAGTAAATGTAACAAACAAATGAAATACGGATTCAAGCTCAAAAATCCATTGGAACAATACAAATTAGAGGCAGAGCACAGGGACTATATCCACAAAGTTCATATGAAATTATTTGTTAATGACCTCAGCACATCCATTGAATTCGATGAGTTTAGCAAGTTCATAGTGTGTCTAATTTTTTATTAATAACAACATACTCAGCACGGTCCATTAAATTCTTTGAGTTAAGCTATTTAGTGTGTCCATCACTTTGTTGATAACAATGAACTCATCAGCACTGTCCATTGGATTCTTTGCATTAAGCTGTTTAGTGTGTCCATGGCTTTATTAATAACAATGAATTAAACCTTGTTATTGTACATTGACTTTTGTGAGTTTATCTATTTAATGTGTCCATCACTTTGTTAACAATAATGTACACTGAGCACTGTCCATTTGATTCTCCAAGCTATCTAATGTGTCCAATTTGAAGAAAAAGTTCTTCTGAGTCCTGACTTTTTAGTTTCTTCATTACGACTACATCAGGCTGCAGTCCAAACCTTACTCTCTGCACTATTGTTGAAGCATATTTGTCTGCTAGCTATTACAGAAACAATATATTGATGCCACTCTGCCTGTAAAGAAACAAATCACGAGAGATCAACAAAAAATATTATTTAATTTTAATAAATGAAAAAGAGCTAACATACATGTATTTTCACAGAGTAGAATGGAGTTTATAGAGCTTGTGTCTTACCTTTATTTACAGGTTCAAGTTGATCTCATTGGACTCTCACTGAATCATGACAGCCTGCTATCTCTTGGAAATAGGATCAATGCCAGCATAACCCCCTGCCTATTAACAAAAAAGACACCAGAAATTCAAGAAATGAGAGATGCTTTAAAATCTAATTTACATAATGAAAGGCCTAAAGCTTGACAACTGTCTTACCATCAATTTCAGGATAGACAGTAGTTAGTCTTTCTTCTCCACAGTCTTGTTGACAGATTGAGGTCAGTCTCATCTTCTGCCTGTTAACAAAGAAAATCCAAAGATCATTACAAATGAACAAGAGGCCCATGTGCCACAATGTTCACCTGAGTCACCTTAACCTTGTTATCAGAAGAAAAAATCTTTACTTCATATTTTTGCCAATCCTAGCCCCAAAGGATCGAGATGTAACCTAATTGAATCAAGACAACCTTGGAATGCTTCAGTCCTATTGCAGCTAAGTTAAACAATGGTCTTGCTGCTTTGCAACATAAGTAATTCCTCTTGGACCCATGATTTGAACAAACTTGAATTACAAGTACAAGCAAAATTTGAAAACTGCCAAAAAGCTTTTTACTCATGCCTTAAGCAGATATTTGCTGTGGACAAAGCTTGGCAATGGACTCTTCTTCATTTCTTGGTCAGCCCTGGTCCCCCCCCCCCCACTTCCCTTTCTTCCCTTGTCAACGTCCTTGAAAATACACAAGGGAGAGAATTTCAGTACTTAATAATTCAATGCAATATAATAATCAAAGAATTTCAAGTAAACATTATCATTACAACATTATTAGCTGGAAAATCAGTTATAAAATAAGACAATAAGGTTGAAATAAGAATTACAGGGAAAGTTAGGGTGGGGAACGGATGTATAATTACTTTAGAGTAAAGAAGAGGTAGGAGAAAGATTTGTCAGAAAGGATTAAATGAATACTTCATGTAAGACTCATGGCTGTTTAAGTGGGTCCTGGTGATGTTCTATAGTTTAAAGAATTAAGAAGTAAAGCCCAAATCTTAACGTGCTTTCTCCTCATTACCGCAGTGGAATGAGAGAGGGACTCCATCCTTAGAATTCCTTGTCAGTCTTAACCTTCCTCTGCTATAATAGATCAAACAGAAACATCAGAGTGGGATACTTGCACTTCATATCAAGCGAGAAGCTTAAAACAAGCTTGTTAATTACCACTTTTGAAAATGTTGCCTAAAAACACAGCCAGGACATCGACTCTTTTTATATTAATTGACCCCTGTCCTCGATTGTAATTCTATCAAGTAAAAGTCCAGAGGTTAAAGCTTGGTACAGCCAATCTCATTTGGCAAGCAAAAAGTCAGGAAATTATACAAGAAGTAAAGTCTGAATCTTACCGCAATTTCTGCTCATGTGTGCAGTTTAACGGGAGATGGACTCCTCCTCACTTCAGGATCCTGGTCAGCCTCAACTTTCTTCCGCTTAAAAAGAGAAAACAGAGACATTAAAGGGGAAACACTCTCATTTCCTATCAATTGAAAAACTTCATTTAACAGAGAAACTTATTGCTTACCACTTTGGGCCATGTTGGCTGCTGCATATAGCTTTTTAAAAATACTGTATCAAAATTCTTGGTGTACCTACATTTATTCTTAGGTACTTAAGGTCATGGTAACATTCAACTTTTCTGAGCACATACAATATGAGGAAAGAAGTAAAACAATCTTTAAGAGCAATGCATTGGGGCATATTGAAATTATTTTATTTATATTTTTCTCCATAAAAATAGAGTTTTTAGTTTCTGAAATCTGTAATTTCCTGAAACCAAATTCTTTCCGGAATTGAAAAAAATTGACAAGGGTCATGCAAAAATTCTACCTTTGTCAAATTTCCCCTTTGTGTGTCACAGTGTCTCTTTAAAAAAATTTCCAATGTATATTTTTGATCCTCATTCTAGCACCACCCTAATAGGGGGGTCTAGATTTGAATAAATTTGAATGTACACTATCTGAGGATAATTCCACACAAGGGTCACCTTTCCTGCTCCAGTTGATCTTCAAAAGAAGATTTTTAAAAGATGTCATATTAATTTTTCACTTATTTGTAATAATCTCTCTTTAGAAGAGGACATGGGGTTTCATTTGAATAAACTGGAATCTCATTTACCCAAGGATGCTCTGTCAAGTTTGGTTGATTTTGGCCTGATGAAGATGAAAGTGTGAGTTTTCACAATAATGACAAAGACAGACAATGGACAAAGGTTCATTCCTATTACCAGTTACCATTGAAATCAATCGAGTCTTCTACTAAATCGGGATTGTGATCATTTTTCTCTAGTAGATAAGGTGCTTGCAAAAACTTTGGAGACTAATCTTCCTGTGCGCCCTTGCGAACTTAGCCTGGGACCAATAGCTGCCCAGTATCCGTCTGCTTCCACGTGGAGGCATCGCATAGGACTTGTTGTGGAGAGGCTATGTACTGGCAGGGGAAGACAAAAATTTCTTCCCTTTTCACATTGCTGCTAGCCAGCGGTGATGGCTGAAAGCGTAAGGTGACAAGCACACAGACACTAACACCAACACACTAGACGCATCACACAACATTTAGCAGACGTTAGTAGTTTTAGTAGCTTGTTACGAGGGACGATCAGAAAATTCTGCAAGTATATCTATTAAATAATGACAACAATATGTATCCACATGTAAACTAGTTAAATCCTTCAAAATAACCCCCTTTTACATTCAGACACATTTGCAATTTGCATATCCATGATTTGAAAGCCCCGAGGGAGTCTTTCCTTGGAATAATGTCTAAGCACTGATAAAAGCACTATCAACTGCACTGCGCAAAGTATATAGCGATGTCCAGATGACATTTTTTTCAGTCTAGATACTAGGAAAAAGTCACAAGGACTTAGGTCAGGAGAACAGGGTGGACGTTGGAGCTGAACAATTCATCTTTCAAAAACTTTGAACTGTTTTACTCTTATGAGCTAGAGCATTGTCATGAATGAGCTTTATGTTCTTCAAGCTTGTGTTTGGTCTTTTCTTTTCATATACTTTCTTAATGTTTTTCAGTATGTTTTTGTAAAATTGTCCCGAGATACAACTACCTTTCAGAGTTGGAATTTGCACAAGAGGGCCACTAGAATTAAAGAAAAATTTCTTAGCACTCTGACACCTTTTTGCAATGACAGGACGTTCGTTATTCTTTCTTACCCTCATCATATTGTTCAATTTTCTTTGCGGCTCAAAAAAGTTAATTTCAAGTTTCATCACCTGTTAACAAGTCAACAAATTTTATTCTGTCACAGTTTTTATAGATTTTTAACAGTTTTCTAGCAAATTTCAAACGCGTTGTCTTTTGTTCTGGTATCAAGAAATGTGGAATCCATCGTGCACATACTTTACATAGGTTGAGGAGCTTGGTCAAAATTTCATGTACCTTTGCTAATGAGATACCAACAACACTAACAATATATTTAAGAAGAATTTCTATGGAATAACATTTCTTGATTTATTTTCTGATCGCCCCTCGTACTTGTTAGGGTGTTAATCATGCAAACCTATCTACCACAAGCACTAACTAACAAACACCTTAATTACAATAATGACCTACACTTCTAAAGAACTCTAATTTGTAAAACTAGAAACTAAAGCTTACAAACTAACTTAACCTACAACAAAACTGTGCCTACTGGAAACACTACACAAACTAAACCTAACACTAACAAACACCTAAGTAAGGCTACTTACAACTACAATAATCCTCTTACCTTTCGTAAGGCTACTTACAACTAAAATAATCCTCTTAAGTAAGGCTACTTACAACTACAATAATCCTCTTACCTTTAGTAAGGCTACTTACAACTACAATTATCCTCTTACCTTTAGTAAGGCTACTTACAACTACAATTATCCTCTTACCTTTAGTAAGGCTACTTACAACTACAATTATCCTCTTACCTTTCAACTGAAGCAGGAAACACTCCAAAATAATCGTCTAAGATAGCCACCGCAAACAACCGACGGGACCCCGAAACACGAATCACGTAGATCCCCAAAGGCAGATCTTGAAAATGTTAGTACATGTACTAAGTAGGAGTGGCAAACTAATCATGAAACAATCTTACATCTTCTTAAATGGCTAAGAAATACCTCTAATCTAGCGTTGTTGGCATGCTGCGAGTTCGAGGGAGGGATTTGAAGTGGGGATTTGAACAAACTACACTTCCTCAGAATTAATTTGAATTAATATGACACATAAAGGCTTATTTTTTTGTTTATTGTTATGATTCACTTTAATTATGCTTTTAAATAAATGAACAATTATGGCTTTGTGAAGAATTGTAATAATTTTTTCCATGTATTCCTATGTAAAACTCTGATACCCAATTTTGGCCCCACTCTACACTCTGAAATACAACCTAAACAGGATCAGGGAAGGGGAAAGGTGATCTGTGTACTTAAAACATGAAATCAAAATACAAAATAAACAGATAAGGGCTGAAATACTAGCTTAACAGGATCAGGGATGGGGAAAGGAGTGTACTTAAAACATGATATCAATAAACAAAATAAACAGATAAGGGCTGAAATACAAACTTAACAGGATAAGGGATGGGGAAAGGAATGTACTTAAAACATGAAATCAGCAAACAAAATATGTAAACAGATAAGGGCTTAAATATAAACTACACAGGATTAGGGAAGGGGGAAGGAATATACTTAAAACATGAAAGCAGAAAAGCAAAAAAAACAGATAAGGGCTGAAATACAAACTAAACAGGATCAGGGAAGAAGAAAAATGTACTTAAAACATGAAATCAATAAGCAAAATAAACAGATAATGGGTTGAATACAAACTTAACAGGATAAGGAAAGGCGAATGAAATGTACTTAAAACATGATATTAATAAATTAAATAAACAGATAAGGACTTAAATACAAACTTACCAGGATCAGGGAATTTATAAACAAAATAAACAGTTAAGGGCTTAAATACAAACTGAAGGGAAGGGGAAAGGAATGTACTTAAAACATAAAATCAATAAAAAAAAGAAAAACAGATAACGGGGTGAATAACAAACAAACCTCATAACAATAACAATTAACAAAAAATTCATAACAATAACAAATAACTAAAAATCTCAACCAAATCAAATAACTAAAATTCATAACAACTGTCACAATAATTAATAACAACTAGTTAACACTCAAATCAATAACAAATAATTCAAAATCACAAAAAAAGAAGGAATGTACTTAAAACATGAAATTAATAAACAAAATAAACA